AGAAAACTCGCAAAAAATTCTGGACGACTTTACTTATCCTGGACGACTTTAAAATAAGTCGTCTAGTCGGACGACCTTCAGTTAAGTCGTCTGGGAGAAGTTAAAGATTTAAGTTTTATTTTTGAATTACAAAACTAACCTGAGACGACTTATCCGTAAGTCTTCTAGATTTAATAAAATATTGATATTTTAACTTTCCTAGAGAAGACTTAACTGTAAGTCGTCCAGAAAAAGTCAAGTATCTGACAAATTTCGGTCAAATGCAAAAGTAACCCAGTTTATCCAGACGACTTAATTATAAGTCGTCTGATGTTTTTTTTTAAACAAACAAATCTGGATAACTTAGAAGTAAGTCGTCCATTTGACCAGAAGACTTATCCTTAAGTCTTCTACATCCAGNTTGTAAATACTTGAAGATGATGAGGTTGAGAGAGTAAAAATGCCATTTTCGAAAAAAAATTCAAAAAACATATAAATGGCATTTTCGTAAATAAAATGAAGATGTGGGGTGAATAGGACAAAAACAAGATGAGTCAAAAGAAGAGGTTAGTTTTGTGTTTGACTTGGAGTTTTGAGTCAAATTTGCAAAAAGCCCTTTAAAAAATCATGGGATTAGTCTTTATGCATATCTATTATATTAAAAGAGAAGTCATGACTCACTTCATGTGTGATTTTTTAGTCTGGACCATCCTTATAAATTTTATAAAATTTTACGTAACATTATAATAATATCTTTTCATATCTTTAATTTTTATTTGAAATACAAATAAATAATTTTAAAAAATTCTAACAAAATCTTTTAAAAATCTTATAGAATCTTTTCAAGATATAGTATTAAAAATTATCTGATTAAAAATTTAATTATCATAGAATATAATTAAAATTTTAATTATTTTTTTTATTTATAAACACAAAATTAAAATTATGTAATATACCTTTTAACAATATCCCAAAATTCTGTTTACGTATTATGTAGGTCCAATTTAATTTATTTTTTATATATATAAAATTAGAAATAAAACAAAATATATAAATTAGTAATGTTACATAATAATGTTTTTAAAAATTGTTACAAAATTAAAAATTTATAAACTTGAAATTAATAATATTACAAGCCACATAAATATTATTATAAAATTGGATAGTATATACACTAAAATTATATTTATTTATTGATAAATTTTACTCCCTTCGTTTCTTAATATATGATGTTTTGGATCATTGCACAGAGATTTAGAAATTTACATTCTTTTACAAAAGTATTTTTAAAGATATAATTTCATAATCATTCAACCAATTATTAACAAGAGTAAATTTTTATCGGTTGAATAGTTTCCAGTAAAGTTAAATATAACTTTAAAACCTCAAAATATACCTTAAAATCTCAAAACATCTTATAGTTTGAAAGAAAATAAATCTTTTAAAAACATCATTTATTTAAATTGGAGTGAGTATTATATAATTTCAAATATTTTCGTATTAAAATACCCGCACGGTTGTGCGGGTCGAGATCTAGTCTATATTATTAAAGTTGAAGTACACAATGAAGTTGTTTGGAAACTAGAATAGTAGACTAAATGAATATGTGTTTGGAAACATGGATAGTAGTAAAACAATAATACTTACCTAATTTAAATGATTTTTTTACAGATTTTCTTTCTATTTTAATTAATTCTAACAGTTTCATTTATAATCTTTACTAAATAAAATTGATATCATTTATTAAAGAATTACAAAACAAAACGTATTTGTTTTCAATTTTTTATTTTTTATTTTACATTCATTTTCACTTTTTAATTATTTCATTAATTATATTTACTATAATATTTTGACAACATTTATTTTACATATTAACTATAATAATTTGACATATTTGAATGAAATAACTCTATATGTGACAAGAATTAAAATGGTTAGCAATTTTTTTATTTGTTTGCATAATCAGTTAGACATAGACATTCGAATATCTTTGGATATCAGGTTTTTTGAGTATTGAAACTAGAATTCATTCGATATTATAATTTTTCATGTGGATATTTCAAATCGATTTTCACAAGTCGAGAAGAATTCAATTTTGATATATAGAAACCTATAAATATCCAAAAACTAATGTATTTGAGGCCTGTCCGGATATTTGTACCAAACATAACAATATTAACCGATTTAGTTTGGGTATTTTGAATTCAAACTAAACTTAACCTAAAAATAACCAAATAAATTTTTTTTTATTGTCACTGTACCAAATAACTAAAACTAACCATATTACCATATTTGATTCGGGTTTGATTCTCATGTATAGAAACCTAAAAATATTCAAATATTCATACAATTAATTATATTATGATACATAAAAAATATCTAATACTAATCATGAAAGAAAAAAAATTAATTTCTAAAAATATTTCAAATCGGGTCTTCAAAAGTCAAGAAGAATTCAGTTTTAATAATTAGAAACCTACAAATATCCACAAACTAAAGAATCTGAGGCCGATTTGGATATTTGTACCAAAAAGGAACAATATTACCCGATTCAGTTAGGGTATTTTGAATTTAAACTAAATTTAACCTAAAATCAAATAACCAAAACTAACCATATTACTGTACTTGATCCGAATTCGATTATGATGTATAGAAACCTAAAAATATTTAAATATTTATATAATTAATTTTGTTATGATACATATAAGATATCTAATACTAATTATGTAAGAAAAAAATATTAATTTATAAAAAAATAAAAATTAACACCCACACGGGCGTGCGGGTCAATCTCTAGTAAAGTCTTTAAGATTCGTTATCAAAAACCTTGTAAGCGTCTAAAATATTGAAATTAAACTATCAGGAGCGCATCAGTTTTCATATATTTTCATAGTGAAGATGACATATTAAATATTGTATATTTTTTCATAGTTGGATTTATTAAATTGAGTATTTTGATAGAGAAACTGTCAATTGTTATTTGGCTTAAAATATTCAAATCTCAATAACTAAACGAAGAATAGTTTTCAGTTTAGTATTTCTTTATGGTTTGAATCTAGGTAAATCGATTAAAATCTTGGAAATTTGGAGTACGAATAAGGATAGAAACATGATTTAATTGAACTTGGTACGAGTTAGGTTTAAACAAACCGGTCTGGGTTCGTTGCTGTTTAAAAAAGGAAAGATTGCACGTTCATTAATTACAGATTAGTGGCAGGTTTAGATTAGAAAGGGTAATAGTGGAAAATTTTAATTACCAATCCACCGACCGAGCCTATATATACCAGAGAGAAAGAGAGTGTTGTTTTACTTTTCGCTATCTTCTTAAATCTCACACAGAAACTCTTTCTCTCAACTCTCTGTCTCAGATTAAAAACTTAGGGTTTCGTTTGTTCGTGATCGTGACTGAGCCTATCTATTCTCTCTCGACTCTGTCTCTGTCTCTGTCTCGGTTTGAAAATTAGGGTTTCGTGAAAGAAAGAATGGTGAAAAGAGGAGGAGGTACGAAGAGGAAGCCAGAGATGAAGAAGATCGCTGACAAAGCTTCGCGAGCCACAACTTTCTCCAAACGCAGAGAAGGTCTCTACAGTAAAGCGGCTCAGCTTTGCGTTATCTCTGACGCTCAAATCGCAATCTTAGCGACTCCATCTTCTTCAAACTCCAACGCTTCTTTTTTCTCGTTTGGTCACTCCTCCGTTGATTCCATCGTCTCTGCTTATCTGTCGGGAAAGAGACTTCCTCCTGTTTCATCATGTGGTGGTACCAAAGCGGCGAGAGAAGACTTAGGTATTTGTATGGCCCGCATGGATCTAGGGTTAGGGTTTTGGTGGAACGACGAGAAACTTGTCAATTCTAAGAATCGCGAAGAACTTATGGAAGCGATGAAGTCCATGGAAGTACTCATGGAGCAGGTTAAGGAATTGAAGGATCAAGCCCTAACAACAACGCTTCCTCCATCATCGTCACATGATGACTTGGATGAATGGAGCGAGATGGAACTTAATCAACTCCTCCAAGATGATTGTGATGATGATGCACCACCACCACATGTTGTTGTTAGCAACACTGAAAAAGAAGAAGAGGATCAGACTGTATCTGAGAAAACCTGCAACAACAACATGAACTTTGTATCATTACCTGAAACAGCGGGAAGAAGCTTGGAAGAAAGCTTGGAAGAAGAGAAGATGGATATTGATTGGGATACTGTTTTTGTATTCGATGAGGAGCTTAGTGATGATGTATCACCACCTGTTGTTGGCAACACTGACAAAGAAGAAGAGGATCAGAATCTATCTGAGAAACCTTGCAACAATGGCAACTCTATGTCAGTACCTGAAGCAGCAGGAAGAAGCTTGGAAGATCTTGATTTGGATAGTATATTTGAAGGTTTGGCATCCTTTGATGATCAGAAGCTCCTTTGGTCTGATGAGTTATTGTTCATGTAATTTTGAAGGGAGTACGTTCTGGTTTGTGTCTTGATCAGTTTTCTCAGATGAGATAAAATTGATCCAACTCAAACCAGTCTGGTTCGTGTCTTAAATGTCTTATGGAACTCATGTAATAAATTGTTCTTTCAAGTAAAAATTGAGCTGTCTACTTCTACTTGTTTATGTTCTTCTTGATATATACCCTTTGCAAACGTTAATTTTATAAACAAAACATAGGGACATTGATTATAACTCAGCAGTGAGCTTCCTATTGTGCTATACAAAAGACCATCTCTGCTACAGTTCTCAATACAAAAAATTCTTCAAAATCATTATTAGTCTTCACTTTACACAATCCAATTGTCATAACGACCACCCCTTACTTCAAGCTGAGAGTGTCATGTCCTGAAATTTAACTGCCAAGATGATAAAAATAGACAAGAAGTCGTGTTCAATTAGGGAAGATGAACATCACAGCTTGGGCGAGTAAAGAGGAAGAAAAGAAGAAGAACAACAACAACAATGTAGATGCAGAGGAGACACAGAGGATTGAGTTTGCTAAATGAGAAGAAGCAGAAGAATTCAAACATGAGGCAATGTAAGTTAGTACTCTTCAAAAAACGTGTTGTTCAATTTCTTCTTAGAACTCGAATTTTCTTAGGTATAAGCGTGAGGTGATCAGAAGCAGAGATGTTACCTATTAAGGTTATAAGATATGTCGTGGTTGGTTTTCACGAGTCTTGAGACCAACAAGAAGAGTCTCCTTTGTTACAAGACCCGTTAAAACACACACAAGAAGAGAAGAGAGATTGTATATGTCGGAGTTCAATTAGAGAAGATAAACATTGCGGCTTGGGGGAGTAAAGGGGAAAAGGAAAAAAACAACAATGTCGATGCAGAGGATTGAGTTTGATAAACGAGTGCGTATAAAGAAGCATAGGCAAGGTCTGGTTGTACTCTTATGACCTTAATAATTGCTTGTTCGGTGAGCAAACATAGAGTAACAGGCTTCAAAACGTGTTGTTTCATTTCTTCTTTGAACTCAAATTTTCTTAGGTTACAAGATATGTTGTGGTTAGTTCTCAGAAGTAATTGGATTGGCTTTTGTCCTTTTGAGTAAACAAGGATTCAATTTCTCAAAAATTTATTTTGTTGTGCACTTTGTGTTTCATACGTTCAAAAGAGGATAGCAAAGATTGTGACTTAAATTAGGTCTTGCCTATTGCCTTAAGGGACAAATTAAACCAGGACATATACAGAGACAATGTAGGCCAGGCTACGCAAACCTTACAGCAATTACACTGTACTTTTGGTTCTGTTAGCCCAATGATTCTTTTTCATAATACTTGGGCCTGAGAGTTAACCTATTATAAAGTTTTGGTGTATTTTGTGAAAGAGTCCGTCATACTTTAGACTAAATCAACAATCTATATGTCGCAGATTAAATGATTCATTTGAAGATACTTAGATTTGTTTTAGTATCTGTTTTTAGATATAAAAACTAGGAAGCTTCCTGCACCATGTGCAGAAATAAAAGTTTTTTTAAAAAAAAAATTATATTTAAAAATAAAATTTAATTAATTTTTAAGTTTATTATTTTATTACATTATTAATTATATGTAAAAATTAAGAGAAAATAAACAGTTTTATTTAAATATACGACAGTTCTCTCAAATAGAACTTTTTTAGGTTTTTTCACAAAAATATATCTTGAAACTAAAATGACCAAAACAACATTTTTTATTTTAAAATTTACAATTTTTTTTTAAAAAAAAATTTGTAATCCTATCTCCAAAACCTCACTCCTCAACTTTAAACAAAAAGGTTTACGATTAGTTAATCCAAATGATATAAGTGTATATTTACTTATTTTGATAAAACATTTAAGTCTATCTTGGTCATTTTTATTTTAAGGTCTATATTTGTGATTAAAACTTTTTTTAGGTCTATCTTAAAAAAAATTTCTTAAATTTATATTTAATAATATATATGTATCTTTTATCTTTTGGTTAAATTATATTAAATCAGATTATATACTATTAAGAGAAAATTTTGTTAGATATATAACTATCAAAATATAAAACTAAATAATATTTCTAAAATTTATAGATGTTATAAATAAAGCTAACTAGATTTTGACCCGTGCGTCCGCCAAGATAACTGTTTACTTAAAAAAAAACAATTAAGATTGTTAGTATATTGCTTTTAGATATTTAGGCAAACTAAATTATATGCAATAATTCATTAGTTGGAACCGTTTGTATGAATGGTTCAACCATGACTCTTTTGTTTAATCAGGTACATGTTGTTCCTAAAACAATTTTCTGTTGACCAAATAAAATTGGCCAATAACCAATAAGATCGTTAGTACTAATTATCCGATTTGATTGAAAAACTCGGCTTCAAATTCAATTATATTTCAATTATTTTTCTTTTAAAGTTAGTAAATCATATATAGTTTTTTTTTCTCTTTCAGTGTGCATTTATTTAGTTAGATATATTATAAGAATGGATACAATGATAAATAACATGAAGAGGAAAATATTTTGTATACGTGATTCAAAAAATGTTAAAAGAAATGTTTTGCATGAAGATGTAAAATGAAAATGAAGAAGAAACATGGATAGGTGGATGGTGGTTATATCAAGAAAACAAAATTATTCACTATTATTAATTTTCAAATATTCTAATACTATAAATTGTAGAAATAGTAAAGTGCATATATAATTAGCCAGCATTCAAATTATATTACCATATAACTATATATATATATATATATATATATANAGAAGAAACATGGATAGGTGGATGGTGGTTATATCAAGAAAACAAAATTATTCACTATTATTAATTTTCAAATATTCTAATACTATAAATTGTAGAAATAGTAAAGTGCATATATAATTAGCCAGCATTCAAATTATATTACCATATAACTATATATATATATATATATATATATATATATATATATATATATATATATATATATTGTTAAAACGTATCTGAACTTGTTGACCCAGATTGAAATATAATTTATATATTTCCTAGGCTCATCAACTATATTGATGGTATGTTACAAAAATCATTTTTCATTTGATAAAAAAAATTAAGCAATAATATATCTTCTAATGTTTTTTGAATAAATCATGTTATTTAATATGCTTGTGAAAGTTACTGTATTTGTTTTTTTTTTCAAAATACACATGTTTCCTAGCAAAATGATATGCTATGCTTTTCACTTTTCTATGAAAATTAGTTAACAGATGAAGTTTTATAAAACAATTAATATGTATATATTCCCGTATAAATATTTTCTATTAATTAATATAATATTTAATATATTTTACTTGATAGTATTAGATTATTTATGTTGTAGCATATTTACGAAATTATGGGGATATTAACTAATATTCTTCAGCTATAAAATCTTTTTCATTAGAGATAATTTAAAAACGAATATTCAAAGATATTGTTAGGAAGATGATATTGAATATAGTTATGAATTTATGATTTTCTAGAGGAAGTTAATTATTTTTTGGCAATCCCCCTATATATTAAAAGAGAAGTCACTTTATGAATTTTGCTTAAGTGTCATTCATAGGTGCAATATAGAATTAATTCTTTTAATTTGATTGGTTGTTGGAATTTGAATTTTTATTTATTTAATTATTTTTTTTTAAAAGGAAACTAATCCTAGAATTACCTAATCTAATATATATTACCAAACAAACAATTAACCATCTTAAATACATATGATTAATAGAATTTGTTTATAGAAACAATTAAATATCACATATTCCATTATAAAAACTTAGAATATACATATAAATACATATTATATTATAGAAATAAGTATATAAACGATTTTAATTTTTTTTTCTATTAATAATGGATAAAAAAATCATACATTACAGAAAATAATAATATTTTAATACTCACTCACTATATATATATGTATTCTTAAAATACGTTCAATGAATGCAAAACTGTCAAATGTACAAAAATTTAAAAATCTATCATTTTCCAGAGATAAATGTCGATAACATAATTGAGTTATTACTTTCAAAAATTATTTAAGTATTTTTATATTTAAAACAGAAAAGTATATGGTATGTCATTTAAAAAAAATATGAATAAATGAAAAAGTTTATTATAATATAAAATTACAAAAAATCAAAAATTATATTAATACATGATTAGAGTTAATATTCTATTCGTATAATTCATATAGCTTTAAGTACGATAAAATTGGCATGTTTATTTTTAATAAAAAAAAGAGACATAGATAAAAACATGAGTGAATAATAATAAAACCTTTTGTTGTATTCTTCGTTATTTTGTATTTGTACATACATAATTTTTTATTTGTATACCAAAATATTTCTTACGTATCAATATAATTGTAAACTAATTATTTTTAGGTGTTTATACAACATAAAGAAAAAATGAGCAAGGAAGATAAATATAAATGATAAGTTATAATATTTTTAATGTTGAAGATGAAAAATATAACGCAAATTAAATTTAAAATAAATTATTTTAAAATAATGATAAGTATTTTTTTGTGGTGTAATAAACTTTTAAAATATATAATAACAAAGTTATAACAAAATTTATACAACTAGAAACATGTTATTTTGATATATTAAAACTGTTGAATCTCATGTTTATATTAATCTATGTCTAAAATAATAGCATCAAATCATTTAATAATTAAGATATTTTATGTTATATAATTATTTAATCAAATTTACTTTTTTGAAATACATTTATTTAGATTTACTTAAAATATGTATGTAATGAAGTAATTAAAAAAATTAAGAATAAGATATTTATTTTTTCAATGAAAATCTTGGTCAAAGAAATTAATGTTTGATAAGATAGTGTGAAGATTGGAGAGAATTTTATAATGAATTTATTTGGTTAGTCAATTGTGATTTTATATTAAATTCTAAATAAAAAAATATGTAAGAAAGGGGGAAAGAGAGGGAGATATGGTGACGATAAGGATTAGA